AGTCTAACGTTGAAAAATAATCAATTCATGAATCTTGAATCTTCCAAGGCATGGGCTTGACCTGCATGAAGCATTCTTCTTTAAAAAAATCTCCTGAAACTTAAAGAATTGATGGGGTAGTTGTGATTTCAGCAAAAATCGCTTGCAATGTGGGGTGGAAACAAGGGGAACCTTCAGCAGTATAGCCCTACAGCCCCCCCTCCTCTCTCAATAGCCTTTCTTACATAATGAAAGTGATAGATGGAATTTTTAATTTTCATTTTAATTATATCTAACCTTTTACAGATGTGTAATTTCTATTGTTAATGAGACAATATTACATATGCTCTTAAAAAATTAATATTATTTGATTTTATTTTTATTTTACATTTAATGAAAGAAATTATAAAAATTGTTGATAAATTTTATCAATCATTGCAACAAAAATTTTAAGATATATTAAATGTTATATATTTAATATTTACCATAAAACCATATAATCAAAAGTTCATGCCTCATTTGGTATGATAAAAATAAAAATGGGGTCAAAAAATATGTTTGGTATATTTATAAAATTGGAGAATTATTTTTATTTAATATTGACATTTAAAATATAAAAAGACTAAAATGTCCTTGTCCCAATTTTTTCCCCTCCGGCCCAGATATCAAAATCATCATCAACCACTGTGATTCAGCAGCCACCATCCATGAAATCGAAAAAGAAGATCCACGTTATCACACAATCAAAGACAAAAAGAGGAAACAGGATCTAGACATCTAGTTGTTTCACAAACGTCGAAGTCAGAACGGATTAAGAGGCAACGATGTTGTGAGGGTGGTGAGAGGGAGTTGCAGTCTTGTAAAGGAGAAGGGGCGAAGGAGGAGAGGGTGGAAATTATTGATAGAGGTCAATGTCGTCTCCGTCATTGTAAGATCTTGGCTTCATCTTCATTCTTTGCTCCTCCAGTGTTCTCTCTATCATTTTAGATCTGGAAGGTGGGTCATCGCTGGCGATGGAGGGAGGCGATGATGGAGGTGGGTGTGAAGCCCAACAACTCTCTGGCATTGTCGCCATCTTCGTCGAACATGGAGGCCAAAGAAATAAAGTCTTTGAGCTTCGATTCTTCAGCAGTGCCCATATCCTCCTGGATTTGCATGGTTTCAGACGCAGTGAGGGAAGAGAGGGATAGAGGAAGATTCATTAGAGAGCGTGAGGATGAGAAGAGAGGAAGGGATAAAAAATGAAAAAAGGGACATGAAATTTAAAAATTAAAATTTTATGATGAAAGTCAATTCCACCTGGAATTGGAATTGCTTGATTTTCCAATTCTTCAACGAAACAAATGTTTTTATCAATTCTATTTTTATATTATTTATTTTTATCATGTCAAACGAACTTTATAGCATTATAGGTAAGATGTTTTTTCTAAAAAAAGTTAATTACTTCTATTTGTAATAACTAAATTTTTAAAATGTATGATATAAATGACTTTTATTGTGATATAATTTGATGTTTTAAACAAAAAAATTTGTGACAATTGAATACAATTACCATGTTGGTATATTTACAACTATTATTGATTATCAAATAAAAAATTAAATAATAAATTTAGTGAGTAAACAATAAAGCTTCTTAAATCAAGGACTAATTTTCATAGCATGCATTGAGAGTATGCTTAAATTACTCAATGCTAAATAAGAAAATTAATTCTTCTCCAATTTAATGATAATATGTATTGAGAAAAAGTTAAAATGAAAATTAATGATTTTTATGCCATAAAAAATTAAAAAATAACACTTAAAAAAAGATGAAAATATTTATTTATTTTTATTATATATTTATAATGAATATAAGATATAAATATTTATATTATGTTAATGATAACGTGTGTGTATATTTATTTTTTTTTTTTTTTTTGTGTTATCATATATGATGTCATCTCAACTTTCCTGATTAAAATATCTGCCCCTACCCTACTTGCATGCTAACTCGACTTTGTGTTCATGTGATTTGACTTGGCTCGATTTGGATCGGGCCCAATGTGGCTTTTGAATGTATGATGCTTGATTAACCCGAGACTTTTAATAAAGTGAGCTACAGTATCTCTTCTCTGCACAGCAATGCACTGATGAGAGATTTACTGATATTAACATGCGAGAATAAATTCAAGTTGGCAAAACAAAAAAACAAAAAACAAATAAATTCAACTGACCAGCAAAGTGCCGGGGAATGCATCGCACGCTGACCAATCACTGGGATGTGTCTGTGATTTGTGATCGGATATCAGTGAGAGACGTTTGTGGTTTCTCTTTCAAAAAAGTTTACATTTAAACACCTTCTAAGAGAAATAACCTGAAATTATGAAATTTTAGGAAAAGACAGTCATCCGTACTTGAGGTTAAAATTTTTTAATTGAATTTTTTTAGTACTATCTTCCATATTTTCAGTATATATCTTTCACATTTTTAATAGTTGTATTTAGCATTTTTAATACTTAAGTTTTTGTTTCTTTCCGTAGTCACCTTTGAAATTTTTAATACTCATTTTTTGTTATTTTAATATTCAACGTAATTAAAAATGAGTGTTTTTCAGAACTGAAAATGTGAAATGTAAGTATTAAAAACATTTAAGATGATTGCTAAAGACTAGAAGAAAAAAAAAGAGTATTGAAAATGTGAAAAATGTGTACTAAAAATATGAAAGCATGGTGTCAAAAAAAGATGAACTCAAAAAATATTAATTCTAATCAAGTATTATAATTGAACTATAATCCTTTTTTGAAATTTTAAAATTCTTGACCATAAGCAATATTTTTAGAAAGTCTTTAAATATAGTCCTCATTAAAAATCTCTCTCTCCTCTCTCTCTCTCTCTCTCTGACTGACTAAAATTATATATTGTTTGAGAGTCATCGAGTATTGTTTGAGAGAATTTTGAATTTTTTAAAAGAGAGTTGAATCTTTTCAAATCATTCTTAATCATTTTAAGTCCATTTTTTATTATCTCCAAATTTGGAAATCAGGGCTAGAATAACTTGATATAAATAATATCACTGCAATTAGCCTCATTCTTCTCAGCTCTTCTCACTCCTTCACTCCCTATAATCCTTAAATTAAAAAAATATAATTATATATAATTCAAATATATTAATTTTATGTTGATTCTTAAATAACAATTAAATAAAATTGTTTATTTTTCTTATAAAACTTTCAAATAATGGAATGTTTCATTTCTTTCCACTCCACTTCATTCCATCAATATCAATTTCTTATTGTTTTATCATATATATACTTTTAAATTTAAGTATACCTTAAGAGTATTTGTTACAAAGCATAACTGCAAAATGAGTAGAAAAGTATTCCCTTTATTTAAAAATATAAGGCATTTTTTACTGAATCTCACCTCCTAATAAAGTAGTTACCTACTTTTAAATTAATTTTATTTTTTTATATTTATTCCTATTATATAATAAATATAAAGTCATTATTAATGGGGGCACTTTTGAAACAAAAAAGATAATGATTACACCTTAAAAGATTAAAAATGCCTTATATTTTTTAACATTCAATTTTTTAAAAAATATCTTATATTTTTCAATGGAGGAAGTAACTCTATGCATAATGGTGCAATTAATTAGAACAATCACAGTAACATGATGACAATTTATTATGAAAGTACAAAGTTAACTAATTTTATAGTTCTTTGTTAACAAGCAGTGTTACGATCTGCAAAATTTATCTAATCACATCTTGCCTGCTGCCCAGAGACTATGTTATTGTTCCAGAATCGTCTCATTCTTTGAAAACCTCAATTTCAAAAGTAGATAGATAGGAAGAGTTCTTGGTTTCTAGAGCTTTTTGAACACCACCAAGGTGAGCTGTTACTCTTCTTTTTCTCTTTGTAATACTACCAAAAACATTTGTATTCCAAGAATGAGCAGTAGCAGAAAACTTGTGGACTTTATCCACCAAAGTTTCCCCTCCATCTATAATATTTTACATTCTTATTTCTTATATGTTTGAACTCAAACAAATTTCAAAAGGGTTTTGGGATCCTAAATTTATATAATTATTTTCAAATATGATTTAAAGTTTGAACATTTCCTAACATGATAATTTGATTTAGAAATTTGTTTAATCTTAATTACCATTATAAAGTACTGAATGGCGTGTTCTGTTAATACAAAGATAAATAGTACGCTTTTGTCATATCCAAAACGCCATCTCGAATTCAAACCTTTTCGATTGACCATAGGCTATCTTTTTTGGTTGAGAGAATTTTCCACCTCCATTTCTCTTCTCCACACCTAATTTTATAATTCTTAAAGAGGGGTAGTCGACACCTTAAACTTGTAGAAAATTTGTGACTTTCTAATTTTATCCTTCACTTAAATTAATGATCATGATAAAGTATTTGGCAAAAAAAAAAAATGATTGCAATTAAGTATTGCAAAGGAATTAAAAACATGGCTACAATTTGTTACAATTAAGAATGGGTGAGGTTGAAATATTTTTTTGAAAGATCATGAGAAACGAAGGTTGAATTTTTTTTTTTAACTATTACATCTTTACCTTGTATTTAGGATCAGGCAGAGAATGTTAAAACTTTATCATATAATTAGGACAGGAGAAACTAGTGATTATAAATTTATAATAATTGATTTGAGAGTTACAATGGGGGGCTTTAATATTTTAAAATCGAGGTTGTTATTTGTTTTTGCTAGGGGATTTGGAAAGGAAGAAACAAATTCATATTTCATCTAAAATTAACTCTGCTTAAGTCATTGATCAGCTTGTTCATTTCTTGTTGGGGTTAGGTGATCTCTGTATAGTGTATAGTGTCTAGCTTCCTGGCTCCAACTTCCAAGTGTTATAGTTAGTTTTGTGCTTTTTTGTTTCATATTTTCATCACTCGAGTTCCACCAACCATTATTTTTAAGGAAAATTGGAAAGTTAACCCTAAATTTATGGGTCTTGTTTCTCACTTTTGGCATTAGGTTTTCTTTTAACTCATGGGGCTGAGTTCTGAGATCCTACGAATTGGCTTGGCATGAAACTTAATTATATCTACATTTTTAAACAAAATGTGACGTAAATTTCTATGCATTATATGTAAATTTCCGAATATTAATTAAATTTCAAGTCTTCCGTCGCTTCCTTTCCTTGTGTTCGAAGGAGAAACCAGAGACGACTGTCACTTACAACCTCCGTCTCTTATCGTAGTAGCGTATGGTCTTCAGCGTTCGGTTTCCGGTACGATATCAATTTATAATTTCCAGCTTTCTGTGCGATTTTTATGTACAATCGAGACCGTTTGATATAAATTTCGTGTGAATTCTATGACAGTTCCATATTTCAGACCCTTTTCATGATTTTGCTATGGTTATAAAATTACTTTTTCTCATGTATCTTCTTTGGTTGGTTTACATTTATTCTGTCGCGGTTTTGATCAGCTTGGTCAATCGCTCCTCTCCGGTTAATCTTAGCGATGAAGGGTGCTGGGTATTATGATGATCGCGCATATTATTCAACCTCTTCAAATTTGTCAGCTTTTGCCCAACCATTCAGTGTTAACAAAATCATTTCCAAGGACGTATCAGCCCCATATGTAGATTTAGCAGAATCCACAGATGCTACCCCCTCGAATCACTTTCCTGTACACTCTAGCCCTTACGCGTATGATTTTTTTCCGAAACCTGTCAGAGAGTTGGATTCAGCGCCTTGCTCAAAGGCACACGAATACTCTGGCTTGCAAGTGCTAGACCCACCCACCAGCCAGTTGCCTCATTTTAACACTCTTGGTTTGGCTTCTGAGGACACATTTGCTTATGATCAGTCTTCTAATAACATAAAATCAAGTCTTGTTGAAGCCCAACCATACTATCCTTCATATATTTCACCATCAACTCATGTTGTCAATCCAGCAACACCTGATCACTGGTCCTCTCTGGACGATTTTAAAAAGAAGTCAGAAATAGGGTATTCGGGCCAGATGGCGGGCTTTTGGAATCAGTTTTCGGAGTTCAACCAAGGTAACAGTGCACCGGTGGAAGCTGAAGGTAGTTTCTACTCAAAGGAAACAAAGTTAGCTGGTCCGATTATTGAAGAAAACCTTGTGAACCGAGGTACGTTTACCCTTTCTCAATGCCTGATTTTCTTGTTGAAGCTACTGATGGTTTTACTCTTGAAATTGTTTATTGTTGATGCCCAATACATTAAGCTTTGAACGGCGAATATTACCATCATGCAATCTCACTGTTCCAAGTATACAAAGTAATGAAAGTGACAAGCTCGAATAGGTTGCCTCACTTTTAACATGAAACTACACTCTGTTAACACTCTACAGGATAGCATTTACAGCTATGAAGAACCTTAGTCATGAGATACCATTTTCGTTGTTTTGTCATTTTATCCAGATTCCAGAAGTCTTCCCCTGTTTTGTGTCATATACCCACAGCCACAACTGATTGTTAAAATCTTTTTATTTTTTAGAATTTTTAATTATAGATTTTAAAGTTGTGAAAGAAATACAAGGGAAACAAAAATTTAATAACATGATCTTGAAAAGTGAGGATAAGAAATGAAACAACATCAGATGCCAAGTGAGTATCTATATTCATCTTTTATGCATAGTTGTCTAATTGTAATTTGTATCAAAAGTCAAAAAGTATATTCCGAATTGTAATAACAAATCACCATAGATTGTAAAAGTCAGTAGCAAATAGAAAAGTAGCTTAAAATATAAAATTTGACAAATGTATTTTAATGACAGGCATTAAATAGTCAGGTTAACAAATTTAACCCAAGAGTTAAGAGAAGTACTGTACCATAAATCATAAATATGCCCATTGCTGTAAGTTTGTAAGCCTTTAATTTTTGAAATGATCTGAAGTAATATCCTTCTTTATGTTTGTCAAAAGAGGCATAGACAACACTTAATAAAGTATTGCCATGCTAATTGCCAACTCAATTTTTGCACACTTTTGTCAATAATAAAATCATGTAATGATGCTGTGTTGGTTTGAATTGGACATGTTCATACATTTCTTGGCTAATTCAAGATTGTTCTCTATTCAACCACTAAGTTATGTCATTTTTGTGATTAGATGGGAATCATACAATTTTGATAATTATGCTTCTATTTCAAACATCGACTGTGTGATATTTCTTTAAGTCACGGAAACTCATGATTTTATCCCACTGAGGTGATAGATCTTTATTTGGTAAATTAAATGCTATAAAATAAATTTCATTTTGATGTATTGAATTGAATTAATATTATGAATAACAATGCCTGAGCTATCAAATCAACTCATTATGTAGATTTGAATTGTGTTTTTAATGCAGGATATCAAGATGTTGAGGCCCCAAATAATGGTAAAGTTTTACATTGTATCAACACCATGGGTTGGGAAAAGCATGGTTTGGGTGTGCCTGTCAGTGCGGACCAGTTGGATGATAAATCTTGCTGGTGGCAAACTACCAATTCCTTGCCATTTAATATTTCCAGTACATCTATTCAAGTATCCCCTTTGGTTTCTCTTGACACTCATTACAGCGACCAGTTGAAATTAGTCACAGATTCAGGGAGCCACCACTCTTCATTCAATGCATCAACTGACCAACATTTGATACAGCACGACAAACCTTCACTGGTTGATGCAGGATCTTCAGCACCTGTAACAGGAATAGATGTGGGTTTCAATGTTGGCAATATTGCTGCTGTTGGGGACCTTGGAAGTAATCATATTGCTAATATGAAGGAGGCTTATCCCCTGCCAAGTCCTAGAAGCACAGGTTGCTTTGATTCACGTCATCTTTGCATGCATTTAAATAGAGACGAATCTACCTCAACAAACAATGTAATGCTTCCAGACAGTCATGTTTCAACAGGTGTTGTTGATTATATATTCAAAGCAAGGAATGAATTTCAAATTCCTCAAGCAAGTCTGAATAATTTAAGCTTGGGGTTCAGAACTGATGAGGGTGTCAATTTGAAATCTTTTGACAGTGTTGATAAATGTAACCCTGCTGAGGATTCACCATGCTGGAAAGGAGCTCCAGCCACCCATTTTCATTCTTTTGATGGTTCTGAGGCTCTTTATCCAGGACATGTGAAATTTAATAATGAAGAGAATTTTTCTCTTAATTTCCAAGGGCCTCAGAACTTTCGTCTTGATGCAAGCAATATGACAGAAATATCATGTGAAAATTCTAAGAATAATCAAACAGACAAGGAAACTGACTATCTGGAAAAAGGTTTGGCTGGCTCTTCAAGGAAGTTTTCATTGACAAACTTTTCATCTGAAGAAAATAATTTAGGTGGTGCAGCGAGTGCTGGATGTTTTGAGTCCAAGCCGATCTATGATTATGGACTTCAATATCTAGATGACAATTCTGAAATAGCAGAAAATTATGTGCCATCAACCAAGTCAACATATGATTCTGAGTCTAGATTTTCCAACAATGAGCAACAAATTATGGAAGAAAAGATGTCTCAGAAATGCAATACTTTATCTGGGGTATATGCAGATGCTGAAATTAATGGTAATGAGTATTTGAAATATCATGCATCCCATGCAGCAGAGCTTTCACCTTCTTCAAGAGTAGTTGCCCCTACTGCACTTAAAGAATCAGCTGCAAAAGCTTCAACTCCAAAAATAAACATCCAAATTCTGGTTGATACAGTGCACAACTTGTCAGAATTGCTTCTTTTTCATTGTTTGAATGATACGTGTGAATTGAAAGAAAATGATCGCAGTGTCCTTAATAATGTGATTAGCAATCTTAATACTTGTGTTTCAAAGAATGCTGGCCAAATGTTCCCTGTGCGAGAATGTGTTTTTCCTCATCTGAATCCTGCTAAGCATGTGAGGGAATCACACGAGCTTGAGCAGGTATGATTTCAATTCCAATTCAATGATAATTCTCAGCTATCTGATGGGTAGAGAACACTTTTCCCCCCTTATATGAGGAGTTGCTGAAATCACAAATTATATGATTTATTTGCATCACTTACTGGTGAGAATTTGACAATCACATTGAAACTCTTCATTTACACATGTAGAATACTTTGCTCACTGACTTAGCCACCTTTTGCTGAATGTCATAGTATATGTATCATTCTTCAAGTTCTGATAGGTTTCACTGTGAGTCAAGCATTTATGAATACCTACTTGGTTTTAATTTTTAACCTAAATGCATGAAAGGTCATGATAAATTCTGGTGACTTGGTCCACCATCTATACATGTAACTTTCAATAATTACTTTTGCTTCAAGGTGCTTGCCTGTTACATGTGTTCAGAATTATGGCAGGTTATACTGTATCTCAAATAATGCCTATGGCGGGCAAGCCGTCCAATTGAGGAGACAGATTTAAACCCTTGCTTAGCCCTTTTTTGAGCTTGAAACAGAGATTCGGTGCATTTTTTGCCATTTAATTGGGGAAATAATTATTTAGTGAAGAAAGGGAAACTTTTGACATGATGCTAAGCTTGTTGGAATGAGAGTTGGGAAGATTAAATTGCATTATGACTCTGTGATGAGAGTAGGATGCCCCTTGGACAGATTGTGAGTCAATTTGGAGTATTGACTTCAGTTAAATTTTAGGGTTTGGAGTTTAATTTCACTTTTTGAATTGCGGTATCGACTTTTGTTAAAATGCCAGTGGTTATCCTTGAGCTGTTTTGCTGTATGATTGCAAAATTTGGCATGATATGTTATGATACCCAACATACCATCTGATTTTCAAGAACTAGGGTTAATATTGTTGATGCTTTTGTAAGTTCCACGCCAGAAATCTAATCAATATGTGTTTTGATGTATCACTTTTCTTTTCTTTTCTTTTCTTTTTTTTGGTTCTCAAATTTCTTGGATGTAGAGGCCATACTTCCTAATTTTCTAAGGGAAAATGGTATGCATCTTTTTGTCTCTTTTCACTAATCTTTTGGTGGTTGAAGGACATGGTTCTTTGCTTATTTTATATGCTGATTATTTTATTAGCTCTGCATTAAAATGACTGTAAATCTGAGTAAATTGTCAGAGTGCAAGGTTTGAGAGACCCTGCTCAACCAAGGTAGATCCAGATGTCTCTAAGGTTGACCATGAGAATCTGCCTGTTCAAGAGACGAAAGACCATCATTTTGTATCCAGTAAACTAGGGAAGTTTTCTGATTCTTTTCCTACAAAGGGTGAGGCGGACATGATGAAAGAAGATAACATGATTAAGGTGCTTTTAATGGCATTTTCTGTTATTCACCACTTTTTAATGCTTTTACTCTCCACAGAAAGGTAACAAAGACAGTGGAAGGAAAATATTTAATTGCTTTGGCATACTTTGATTTATAGGCTCTGAAAAGGATTCTCATTGAGAATATCCATGATGAGGAAGGAGCAGATTCTCAGACTCTACTGTATAGGAATTTATGGCTTGAGGCAGAAGCTACTATATGTTCCATGAATTACAGAGCTCGCTATAATCAAATGAAGATTGAGATGGAGAAATGTTCCGAGCAAAGAGGTGCACATTATCTTTATTTCAAGACGACCAATTGTTCAATATCCCAGAAAACTAAACTGGAAATTTGGTTCTTTTGTTTTTTCAAAAGCTAATATCCTGCTTTTTATGCCTTGGATAATGTTTTAGATGTGAAGGAGCAATCAAAACTAGATGATCCTAATTTGAGCGCAGCTCAGAGTTCTGCAGCCAAAAGGAACTCTGTTCCATATGCCAATTATTCTGCAGAGAACTTACCTACTTCAAATGCTGCCAACTTAAATGAGTTATCTGGTTTGAAGTTTTCTCCTGATCTGAACAAGCCTTGCACATTGACACCTGACGACAATGGTGGTCAAAACCTGGATAGTTTCATTCAGGATTCTGCTGTTTCTGGCACAAGCAAAGAGATTGGGGAGTGTGAAGCTTCTACAGAGGCCACATTCTATGCTCGTAATTACAGTGATGTAAATTCATGTATGAATGTTGCCAATTTGAAGGAACAACTGAGTTCAGAGGCTTCTCATGACCTTGACATTGACACAGCTGACAAATTGGTATCTGGACAGACAGATAATGAAGACCCAGCTAATATCACCCAGATATCACCTAAGCCTGGAAACGATAAGGCTGAGGATTTTGTATCTTCTGTTGTGGCTAGATTCCATATTCTTAAATCCCGGGATGAAGAGTCATGCACCAATACTGCCAATCTAGAGGAACTACCGAGTTCTGTGGTTTCTCATGCCCTAAACCCAGCAGACAAATCGTCCTATGGACTGACAGATAGCAAAAACCAAGCTACTGATTTCATCCAGGTGAACAAGGATGATAATTATGTGTCTTCTGTTATGGCTAGATTCCATGTTCTTAAATCCCGGGTTGAAGATTCAAGTTCTGTGTTGTCAGAAGGGCAACTGTTAGATGGAGTTGGATCTGCAGGAAACGGAACTGATTACACAGTCATGAGAGATGCATCAGAGACCCACAGTTTGAATTTCTGTATAAGTCCTCCCATAATGCATCTCAGTTCCTATGCTGCTGTTGAACTTTCAACTCCGAAGGAATTTCATCTGAATTTGGAGGATGGTCAAGAAATTCAGCCTCAAGGAACACACAAGTTTGGCGTTCAGCTTCCCACGTATTACTCTGATGGCTTCTCATCAGAGTGGGAACATGTTAAGATGGAGGAATACACAGGGCAGAGTTTCAAACCTTGAAAGGGCTGGAGGAAATGACATGATGCTTATTGGGAAAGACGTTTCTGATTACCTTAATTAGACATATGAGTGAATCTGGTACTTTGTTCTGTTGCTTGGACATAAATAAATGACTTGGCATGGCTATGGATCTTATTTCAGTTTGGGACTAGTGTATCTGTACATGCATGTGCTTATGTTCTTTTCCAAGTGCATTTTCACTAGCGTGTCATTAAGGTTAAATAAGCGAGATGCCAAAAGGAAACTGTTATTTCAAACTAAACCAAAATTTATATTCTGCTCGCATTCGTTATTTCAGAGCGAGCATTATCACCGTTCCCTGATATGATTCGTATAGTTTTCGGTTTTACTCGAGGCTGCGAATCGAAAAAGGGGTGGGGGGAGTAGAGCTTGTTATACCTTGTTTACCCGCTGTTTTTAGATTTACCAGTATTTGGTGTTTTTAAGGATTAAGGCATCTTTCTTTTTCATTTTTTAATTGCTATAAATGGAACTCATTCGAATGTTTTGCAATTACAAAGTTGATTATATATTAATCTTATTTATAGGTCATTCATATTTCACAGGAACCAAAAAAGATCTTAAACTTCATTAGTCAGATAATCATGTCAAAATTTTTTACACGTTTTTAACTTTATTTTTATTAAATATTCATATTTTAAAAATAAAATATTTTAACATTTAATAAACTTTTCGGCATTTGATGGGGAAAAAATAATAAAGATGTACATAATAATTATAAAGTTGTCTTGTAAATATGATTAAAATAAATATTTTATCTATCCTATACACAGGACTAAAGGAGGATAGTAGATTTGACCAAAGATAGGAAACAGAAAATAATTAGGAAGAAGATAGAGTTTTATATACAATCACCTATTTTTGTGTCTTTTTTTTAATCTATGACTGCATGATTGCGATTTTTTTCTTTTTAACCTAAGAACGTTTACAAAAGATCTAATTTATTATAGAACACCGACCAGTCGATATTGTGATATAATTGATAATTTTGAGGTAGCTTCACCAACGTAACTATTGCATGGTAGAGCCGTTGTAAAGCGTGTCATTTGAAAATGCATGACAAAAAAACATGCATAGTTGATTTAGTTTGAAGTTCCTAATCAGATTATCAATCTGTCACGGTCAATGCCAATAATTGACACACCTAATCCCACTGGGAAATGCCAATTCATGAGAAAGCAATTAATGAACGCCAAAGTATTCTTAAACGTGACTTTGTATCCCCAAGCCCCAAGGCATGCCTTATTCCCAGGAACCTTAACAAACCTAGGCCCATCAGGCAACCCATCTAATACAAATACTCTGCTATATTATTTTCGGAATGGATTCTTTCTTTAACAACTCATTTGGATTTTCGTGCACTCAAGTCTACTAAAACCAATAAGTGCAGATATTTCTAATCCCGTCTCTGCTCTAAAGCTTGAAAAAGAGGCTTCGATTCTACAATAATATTATTATCTAACTTGATCTAGTTTGTCCTTTGCTTTCGCATGGCTTCTCCAGTCAACTAACAGTGACGTTCCAGCTTATTGCCTCATCACATGGCACTAAGAACACTACACCGTCCTTAATTATAAATATATAAATAGGATATAGTAGTGCAATAAGATTAGAAGAGTGTGACATTGAAGCTCGGAAAATGAGTCCAGAGAAGCTAAATTTTGCAACTTTAGTGTTGTCAATATATTTGGTGTCTCAAAACGTGAACTCTGAGCTTCAGGTTGGGTTTTACAGTGATTCGTGTAACTTTGCGGAGTTCATTGTAAAGGATGAGGTCAGAAAAGGTTTTATTCAAAACCCTGGAATTGCTGCTGGGCTTGTGAGAATGCACTTCCATGATTGCTTTGTTAGAGTAAGTCATCATGTGAAGCCATTATAGCTTTTTCTGCACTAAGAAACTAGTTTGTCCAATTTTCAACTAGTATAATCAAAATTCCCCAACACAACACATCGAAGTCTAGATAACTTTGTTGTTACCTGTAGGGGTGTGATGCATCGGTGCTTTTAGATTCCACAGCTTCAAACACAGCAGAAAAGGACTCACCAGCAAATAAACCAAGTCTGAGAGGATATGAAGTGATTGACAAAGCTAAAGCTAGACTTGAAGCAGTTTGCAAAGGAACTGTTTCATGTGCTGATATAGTTGCGTTTGCAGCAAGAGATAGCATTGAGTTAGTAAGTGTCACTAGTTTCTATATTGATTCACCTCTTGATTAGTATCAACCTTATCAACAAAAGAATCTTATATATATATATATATATATTGTAACGTTGATGTGCAGAGTGGAGGACTTGGGTATGACGTTCCTGCAGGAAGAAGAGATGGGAGAATATCGCTAGCTTCAGACACAAGGACAAACCTTCCACCTCCAACTTCCAGCCTTGATCAACTCACTCGACTCTTTGCTAGCAAGGGCCTCACACAAGAAGAAATGGTTACCCTCTCCGGTAAAGTCCTCAAAATTATATCTAACTTCAAAATAAACCATGATTATCTTTATCTAAGTATAAAACTATCGGTTATGAATTTCTCAGGAAAAAAAAAAAAAGCGTGTTCAGTCTTGAGGACCTGGCTCCGCTTAGGATCTAACTGAAAAATTTTGCTTGAAAAAACCAACCATTTGATTGTTTCTGATTTTATGCAGGGGCACACACCGTTGGACGTTCATTTTGCTCTTCATTCAGCAACAGATTATACAATTTCAGTAGCACATCAAGTGAGGATCCAAGTTTGGATGCACCATATGCATCCCAATTGAAGCGTAAATGCCCTAGGGGAACCACCAACACTAACATAGTGGTTCCCATGGACCCTTCTAGTCCTGCAAGAGCAGACTCAGGTTACTATTTGAATGTTCTGGCACATAGAGGTCTGTTTTCATCAGATCAAGCTCTCTTGTCCAGCACAGAAACAGCTGAGCAGGTGAATCAGAATGCGAGGAAACCGTTTCTGTGGATGAACAAATTTGCAGATGCTATGGTCAAGATGGGTCAGATTGGTGTGTTAACTGGGAATGCTGGAGAGATCAGAGCAAATTGCAGGAAGGTCAACAACTAGCTACACACCCATGAAGTGAATTAATTAGTCCATGATTTTCCTTTTCCTTATCTTAAAAGAGGCAAGAGAATTTTTGCTAAAAATGTCTGTGTTTATTTTAAATGTATGGTTGAACATTTCTCGTTTGATTTCTGCATTTGTCACGTTTGTTTGTGGGAGGGTAGCTGTAATGTGTTAGAACAGCTTTGTGGATTAGAGAAGCAAAAAGTGATGGTTTGCTTGTATAAAATGGTAATTTGAAAATGCAACATGTGAACAAGTGAAAAACTTGTCCCTTTGATTTTTTGTTCTTTCTTTTACCTTTTCACCCTAAAGACAACAGATTAGATGATCAGAACTTAAATAATCCAAGAGGCACCTGTGAGTATAAGCAAGGACCACTCAGAAAAACCTCCTCTCAGCTGAAAATACTGTTATTGGTCGACTTAGCTGAAATGGAGCATCACTCTGAAGAATGTGCGGAAAAGTTTAGGTCTTTATCACATGTAGATGTTGCCAGCACTGAAACCATCTTTGCAAGGATTGTGGCATATGAAAGTGGAAAGGAAACCAGGGACAAGTTAAGGGACGAATCATTAATATATTAACAAATTATAACAAAGAAGAATGAATTTGCACCATAAAATTATTATGAATTTGAAAAAGGAAAATGAGAAAAGCAAACAAATGCAAGTAGTAAATTCATAAATTCAAAGAAAAGTTTGAACCCTTCAGGTTGAAGGAAGTGGAACCAGCCCAGGGGCCAAGAGCGTGCAGAGAGGCGCATGGTAAAGAAATGCAATTGGTCAGCCTTCCCCGAAAAATTGGATATGCTAGTTGATGCTTTGGCATGTCTCATCCGCGGTGACTTGCGTTTGGTTAAAAACAAAAAATAAAATAAAAAGCAAGCAACTTTGCTTTGATACCTCGTCTCTCGCTAATTTTGTTTTTGTTTTTGTTTGTTGTTCATTGTGGAAATCACTTGTCGGCTATCCATGGAACGTAGGCCTTTGTTCCCTGTCTTGGAAGTGCAGCATTGTATGTTATCCGCTGCAAGAAACACAAAGTTGATGCTGTGTTTCTCAAGCTTCATGAATTACTCGCCAATGTTCATAATTGCCATCATCAAACGATAATGCATCGCTTTGGCCCAAAAAAAAAAAAAAAAAAAAAATCCGATAGTGCGTCGCTATCAACAGCCTAATGCATTTCTCACGCCACTTATATTCTCGAGCACCTGGCGTTAAATTTACTTTCAAATATAACATATTCTGTCATTTTTTATTTATAAGCAACTTTTAATCAATTCACACCAACAAAGAAAATTAATTAAAAGTAATTGAATATAATAAATTTTAATTCAAACTCACTTATTTCCCTCAACCCATTTCTATGTATAATTGCTCAACAATATCCATACGAGGAGCAACATTAAAAAAATAATTATATTTTCAGAGATTTTGCAAAATGAAAAGTAATATATAATTTATTAACATTTGCTTTCTCCCGCCTTAAACCGCTCCATTTCTTGATTGCACAACATTTCATAATTTAACCAGTGTTGTTGTCGAAGTTCTAAATATACTATAGTGGGTGTGCTAATATTAATATTAACATATAATATACTTTGTTATAAAATATACAAATACTTTAACCACTGGGTATAGGTTGGGCGCTAACATCTGCTGGTCAAAATAAGTCTTTGTTAACGTCAGCATCGGCTTCTACACCCTGTAATAACTATAAAAGTGTAGATCATTCATATGTTGGTAGAAAGTGAATGGCACATCCCACTTTAAGCTTTCATGGAATTGAAGAAATATAACAAGCATAAAATTCGATAGCTTGTTTGGAAATGTAGACTGTCGTCTGATTATTTCAGTGAATCCTTGATGAATTAATGAAAAGATGCTTAGAATTAATGAAAGACAGCTGTGCTGAATTCATCAGAGCAAAAATAACGTTTACCAACACGGCAGAGCGATTGGCCAGGCGACAGTGAAGGAGGGCTGACAAGGATGAAAGCATTATAAATCAACAAGGCCAAAACTTAATATCATGAATCATCATCGTATCTGGTGGAGAGTAGATAGGCAAATAGCTCACGGAAGGTTTGATTATGTGTAGAACCGACTAACAAATAATGCACTGGTCATGACGTACCACGACTATGAGAGAGCTACAAAAACACGAGGCACTGCAACCATATTTAATGGTTTGATATGGCTGACCACATTAACTAGAGGGAGGCGTTAGATCTAAAATCATCAAAAATATACGACTCCAATAAGATGAAGCATAAAAGCTATTTAAGTGGTGAGCTCCATGATGGCACCGACAATGTCCCCGTTGTGAGTCTTGAGAGCCTTCACAGCCTTGCTTCTCGACACTCCCGCCTGTGTCATGACTAAATCAATGTCTCGTGGCTCTACCCCAGTTTCGTCAACCTCCTCTTCTTCCTCATCAGCCTGAGTTCCAGCAGCTGCGGCTGCGGCAGCATCTGGTTTTGCCACCACAGATCCCATATCTGGCATCCTGAACTGCTGAGCAGCTTGTGTCTGCAACTGAGAGCTCAAATCCTCTATCTTTGCCTCCCCAAATATGACATATGTCTCAGAATTTGGACTCTTGAAGACATCAGGTTTTGAGATGAAGAATAGAATCTGGAGCAGAAAAGAAATTAGATAGGACGACATCCACATTCCATATACCTCATGCAAGGAAAAAAAAATGGATAATGACTCACATTTTTCGTTCTCTTAATTGTGACTCTACTAACGCCAGTAACTGGTTTCAGTCCCAGCTTCAACATTGCTTTACGACTCTTCTTCTCACTTCTGCTCTGCTTTGAACCCTCAGTAGCACCTGCATTTTGGTGCGAGTAAAGCAGATTTAAGAACAATTTAATGAATAGGTAACACAGAGAAGGTTAAATTCAAGAATGGAGGCCCATCCAAACAAAAGGTAGCATAGAATGTATACGACCATTCCAAATTGCAAGATAACATTCAATGGAAGCAACAAAAGCTTTAGCATAGAATGGAGGTAATAAAATATAACTATTATCTATAGGAAATATTCCAATACACTATACAGATTATTGTTTACCATCTCCAGTACATAGCACAAACTAATTCCACTGTGTTAATTTCCAGCTTCATCAGAAACATTCCAAATTCCATAATATGGAGTTGGAAGTTAAACTCAGAAAAATCTCGACTGAATTAGCAGCCTAAGAGTACAAGGCACTGCAATAACCAATTTCTTCCAAAGAATTGAACCGTTGCATATTTTATTAATCTTATATGGAATGCTTGACAAGAAAAACAAACTAGCTTACATCCACTTAGCATGCTTAAGCATACAAAAGTTGATCCAACAAACTACAAAATAGCATCAGACCCCCAAAAGTCTTTTTGTGTATACTGCTACAAGCAGAGAACCAATGAATCAGTAACCTGTTATCCCTATCTTCACCATTGTTCAGAGATTAGCCTTGGACCCAAAGGAATCATTCAAAAGCAATGCAGTAAAACACGCATATCTACTACTAGTTTTAGTTGAGGAAGCGTAATCTTGTAAAAGAAAGCACATGCATCCACATGAGACATCAAATACAAGAGTTAGCAAGGGAAATCCACACGGCAGCCAAAAGATGAAGGCATAGGTTCAATTTAAAATTAAATGAGGCATATTTCCATTTCCCAAGTATTTGATATCCTATGCATTAGATATCCAGTTTTAGACACATTAAAAGGTATAAGATCCCCATTGTTCATGTTTGTATTAACACATCAAGTAAGATAATCATAAATTTTCTACGTAACTTATAAACTTATATTTAAAATATCTTCCATAGGTCTCCTAGTGAATGAGTCTAGAACCACCAGCAAAGTCAGAATTACCAAAATTCTTAAGAATTTACGACAAATCAAACCCCGGTATGCCTTGCAACCGTAGTTCCATACAGAAAATATTAGGTAAACAAGCTATGAAATAGAGATAGAAAAATCATTTCTTAATAGTAATGAAAGGAGAAAAACCTTGACCTCCATCTTCCTTCTCATCATCATCGTCCTCGTCCTCGTCGTCCTCGTCAGCATCGTCTTCATCTTTGTCATCATCCTTTACATCCTCGACAACGGGAGCATCATCATCCTGGGAAATTAGATCACAGGATGAAAAGAAAAAGGAAACACAGTGAGCGAAGATAAAAGAGGGATGAATAGAAATAAGGAATAAAAAACAAATCACGGGGTCAGATAAGACCTGATGCTGAGGTTTAGCCTTCTGAGTATCATCGGAAGCAGGAAGTGGTTGCTGGGTTTCGGCATCGGCGGCGAGCTCAACAACGGGACCTGGAGACATGGCTTCTCACACTCTAGGATTGGGGTTTCACACAGTGGAGCTGCGAAATGACGACGATAAGGTTTAGCACGCTCGCCTCTCCCCAACCCCTGGGTTTTATCCGATTCTCGTGAAGGGTTTCCGAATTTTGGGCCATAAATTTTGGCCCAGATAGCTCTTTCCCAGCCCACAACTTTTCTGTTACTTTTGGGTGGAATTAACAGGTAAGACTTGAGATATTTAATCTTATATGTTTTCTTAATTACTTACACTTTTTCCTATTCCAGTTGTTCCAGCTACCATAAAGCATTAAATATAAGCACCTTTTTTAATAGAAATTTAAACTTTAATTTGCTGCATTGTAAAAGACTGGTTACTTGATTTGCTTCTACTAAACCTAACTCCCATCACTTACTTAGCTTTATATGTTTAATGTACTTTTATTCAATCAAATTAAAATAAATAAATTTTAATATGTTAATAAAATTAATAATAATAAATTATTATATAATAAATAATTTATGAAAAATTAAATATCTTAATTTAATTAAAAACAAACACCTTAAATATATAAGATTAAATATATAAGTTTTCTCCCAATTAAAAAAGGGGTGATAATACAATTTGAGGTCACTAAGCAACATTTCTATTCTATTTATACAAGCCTCACCATCAATTGCTAAAGTTCCTATTTTTTCCCCCATTAGTTTAGTCAATAGAATCTGCTGAACAACTAAATGCATTAAAAGAAGATTCAAAGAAATCAATGCGTATAGGATTTTGCCAAATGAGTTGAGCAAATATTTATCTTACAAAGTTGGTTACATACTGATGTATGCATTCTATCAGGTAATACTTCTTCTGGATGTTTTTGCGGCCTTAAAAAAAATTGTCATCTGATATATTTGACTGTATGTTCTCTTGGATAAAACTCAACGTTTGAAACTTTGAACAATAATTATTCAACGATTAGACAATACTAGGATACTCGTGAAAGAACTTTTTTTTTTTTTTTTGTGGGACTCAAAAGCCTCTAGTATGAGAGTTACAAACACAAAGAAGATTCTTTGAAGTTTAGATTTCTATGAAGTTAGCCTTAGCCTTCCAAACTCCACATCCCTTTTTTTAAAAAAAAGGGGGGGAGGAAGATGAAAAATAACGTAAATCAAAATCAAATTTCAAAGGATTCTCTTCCTCACAAACACAATTAGTTTTAATGATTTGGAATCTAATGTTCAACTCCAGGAGTTGTTGTCTGCTTCATGCCAAGTTGTTTTCTTGGAAATCCAAGGTGCTTAATAATTGAGTAAACGAGTAATTACGAGAAGGAGCAACTCCATCCATCTTCTTCTAGCACCTCGAAGCTGGCCATCAGGCAAGAAATTACATATAAATACTAAGGGATTTTAACATTTTTACAGTATCCAACTTAAACCTAGCCTAATCAATTCTTTGGAAGAGCAATTAATAATTAAAATATTGAAGGCACTGTCATGGGGGAAATATATATATATATATTGAAGGCATAGCTCTGATTGATTAATGTACTTCGAGAGTTAGCCCTCTTAGCATGCTTCTTTAATCAGAATGCTGCTCCATGTTAAATAACTGATCTACATTACACAAACTGTCAAATTCCAACTATGAATTTGACTGCATTACAGCAAAGTTCAGTTTTTTCCCCTTTCCCACAAACCTTTTAAAAACACAGGGATCCTATCAAGCAAGAGTATTTCTCATCTGTGAGAAAACATCTGTTTCTGCATCATCCTCTTGTCTTTCCAGTAATCGACATTATGGGCATGGCAATGAGAATTCCAGTACTTACACGGTGCAGCTGAATCGCAAACATAGCAATAACACTGCATTTGATCAACCATTCAAAACACCAAGCTATTATCAGTCATCCAAGACAATGACTTTTTTAATTGAGAAAAGACAGCAGCTACTTGTTGTACCATTTCACAGTAGCTCTCGTGAGGTTTTGTATTGAACGGAAATCTGAGACACAGATGTCTTGAATGCGGATAATCTCTGCACGCTACCTGTTTGTCAAAAAATCTAAATCAGAGCAACCAACAATACGTTCTTATACCTGATCTGGACTACAAACCCGTTGGAGTCCAAAATACAGAAAGCTAATTTAGCCTTTTGAATGGAAGTAAGAAAACCTTATTTGGTGATATTGATATCATATTCAGCCTCCAACTTTTGTATCCAATTAACAAGTGTAAAAATATATCAACGAGTTTATTGGTTTTCCTCTCAAACATTTTCTCACAAGCGACGAACTAGAAAGGAACTAGAAAGGGGGAAAAATATAGCACCTAACAGGTTAATGCTCTTTGGTCAAACACCGAAAGAAGATACATTGATATGATCAAAATAATGAATTCGATAACTGAAATCATAGGAAAAAGGATAGGTTGATGTTGTACCTGGCCCTTTTCGGCAATAATAGAGAGATCACTGACATCTTCTTCAGCAGGGTTCTTCTCCTCCAAGGATAGCTTCGATAGGTTAACCGACTCAAATGGATCAAACTCTAAGACGAAGCAGTCCTCAGATTCCTCGAATCGTTTCACGTCATCTATTCTAAGGCAGACCATGGCCCTAATTGGACTATCGTCTTCTTCTGAAGAAAGGGTGATTGTCTCGATCGGTTTCTTCAAATTGCTCGAGGATATCAGGAATGGCTTCCGATCAATTTCTCCCATTTTTGATTTCGTTTTCTTCCGTGCTTGGCTCCCGAAAAAGAAAGCGGACCGCTTTGTTCAGATTCCTTCAGAATTCGGGAGTTGCGTGGCGAAACCAGGGATTTAAAAGCAGCAATATCCAAAAATCAAATTTTGGAACATGGAACGACCGTTAGGATCCCAACCCCTAATTCAGTTCGGCGTCGTTTCGTTCTCAAACGCCGAATGAAAGTCACATGGTTGCTGGATTACCACCCCCCCCCCCCCAAAAAAAAAGGAAATTAGGCCATTCTATTTTCCAAGTATTTTCTCTTATCAAAAACTCTATAATCATCAAACCCTGAAGAATCTCACTCATCTCCTATAGGCGTTCATTAACAAGGATGACCCCACCAATTAAATAAAGCTTTAAGGCCTGGTAAAAATCCCTAAGTCATGTCAACTTTTTAAAGAAAAATTAAAATGTAAAAGAGAATATATCCTGAATCATTTTAATCCCATGAAAGCAAGCAATAGCAATTAAGACCAATTTATAAACCATGACAAGTTAATGGTAGAGAAGAATTCAAGTAAGATTGAGAGTTTAGAGTATTTATAATTTTGGATTTTTGATAAAGTGACAAGAAAAATGAGGAAAGTTCAATCGAGCATTTAAAATAGCTCTTTAAGGAATGAATCCACCTACACCAACCTAATTTCCCTAACTTAATTCAATTTGGTCCTTGCACTTCAATTGGCACATGAAGATGCCTAAATGACCTTTAAGACTAGGCACAAGTGATTAAACCAATTCACAAACACCTTGACCTAGAAGACTTATGCTAATCTATGACTTAACTCTTGAAATTAGCCCTACTCTGACTTTGATCATGTTTAATACCTTAAACCAATTAAGATTATGATATTAATCAAAATTTAAAACCTAAATAATAGCTAATGCACATCCAAATAGCAAGAGATTGAAATGAAAATATGTATTTATTTATCAAAACCTTGAGGCATAAATATAAACACTTAGAGTGTACAACTAGTTTAAGAATCAAGTACATATTTTATTTTTCTTTAAACAAGAAATTTGGCCAAGATGAAATAACTAAGATCTAGATAGAATTATTAATAACACAAATGAAAGAATCAAAGAAAAAGATGAGAAGAATCATAAGAAAAATAAAATGAAAAGCAAAGTTAGAAAAACTCAAGAATAGGCTTCATCTCCTTGAAAAACTTTGAGAAGATCTAGTTACTTATGGTGGTTCTCTTTATAATCCATGTAGAGACTCCTCCTTGAATGGCTTCCATAGCTTCAAACCTTGATTGAGAAGAGGAGAGTAATGGTTGGAAGTGAAGAGAATGAAGAAAATAGAGAGAGGGATGACAATGTTCAAAACTGGAAAATTATGAAGTGTATGGAATGTGTGATGGAATAAATGTGATTTGAGTGATTAAGCCTTGTGATTTATGTCCAGCCTTCCTAACCAGCATGTGAGGGTGTAAAATAAGTAAAATATAGTGGGTTCTAGGTAATCAAAGCTAAGGAGAAATCTAAAATTAACTAACCAACTTGGTTAAGGATTTAAATTATGAATGTGACCACTAATCAAGCTACTTTAATTTAAGTTCACTTGTAGCTCTTCTTGGAGGCTTTCGTACTTGATCAAAACTCACTAACACTTCTAAAATGATGATGAAAAGGTGATTAAGGGTTTCTTGGTAGAAATTCTCAATACCGAGTCATATTAGAAGCTCTTTAAATTAACTCTTACACATGTGTCACTCTAGGGTTTTCTTACTTTGTAGTTTGTCTTATAATCCAATCTTTTAGTCATTTAATCTTTATCAAAATCCTTGTTTGCTTCTACAATTATACATACAAGAATGACTAAAACTGTGTGCAAAATTTCAAAACAAAACTCAAAGCTAATTATAAGAAACAATATAATTTCTAAGGTCCTGGGTTATAAAACATGAAAACCTAGTATTAATGCATTTATCTTGAAAAATCCTATGACTTATATATTTTAATATCTCTTTGTAACTTAGAATGAATTTGAATCTCAAAATTTTTCTATTGATCTTAGAAAGACAAATGACACAAACTAAATTAATAACCCAAAATTGTTAAAATGACCAAAATACCCCTATACTATGAATGAACCCTAATTGATTCTAAAGGCATAGAAATGCCTAAATATACAAGGATTGAGTTCTCTAGTATGTAATAATGGAAAAATACATTCTAAAATGTACGCAAATAATGCAACATGTCACTCGACACCTTACGAGAAGTTCATAAAAAATGCCCTCAAGCTGCTTAGAGTCATCAAGGGTGCTTCCTATAAAATACTGACTTTTAATTAAGTAAAAAATTAGGAACTTGATGATTTGATATTATGATTTAAAATTTACTTTAAAGTGAAATTTAGGAATAAAAACACATTTGAGGTTATTTGAGAATAATGATATGTCTAAGCAATTAATTATGAGTTTTATTAGGCCAAAAACATAGTAGAAGAGATAGATAGGGTTCAAAAAAAGTAATTAGGCCAGATTAGGCCCAAAAGGGGTAAAATTGGGCTTTTGGAGGTTGACCTCACACAAACAAGCTTAGCATAAGGTTCGACCATGTACAAATAGGGAGTAAAATGTCAGCATTTTATTTAAATGCTCATCTACTCGCGGACTAGCTTGTACTAACCATAGCTATACATGGACAGGATAATTTAAATGCATTCCTATTTCTATTTTCAGACAGAAACACATGAAAAAGGAGAAGAATCAGAAGAGAGCTCTAGCAAGTGTTTCTATGGTATTATAATAATGATTTGATGCTTGAGGACAATTTTTGATTTTTCAGGGTATTTTTGGACAAATTTTGAAGTTATGTAATGGTGAAATATTGATATTGAGATTGATTTGAAGTTTAACTAGAGCTTATATGCATAAGAGGATGTTAGAATTTTTAGAAGGGTTAAGAAGGATACTAACCCTAATTTAACACTAAGTACGAATTAGGCCTAGACTTCCTAACTCCAAATTTAGAATTATTTATTTGTTACAATATGAAATTAATATGTAATATGATGTAATGATTGTGTAGACCAATTGATTAAAATAGTGGAGGAAGTGGTATTGAGAAGAGGAATTTGTTATCCACAACACAATGTAACCATTATTAATATGTAATGGGGGTATGTGTGTATGATTAATTGTGTGTTGTTTGTTGTTTAGAAAATCTTAATGGTTTGGAAGTATGCATGTGTGTGTTCGAAATTATTGTCAAGTGGGTTAACATTATATATGTGTAATATGTTGAGATATTATTATTTAAAAGCATGAAAATTGTTTAGTTATATTTTTGTTTGGTTGTTTAAAATATACATGACTTGTCAAGATATTTGAAGTATTGCTATTGTTAGGAAATTTTTGACTGGATAATTTATTACCATATGGAAAGCTCTTATTGCACCTAACAAGTAGCATATAACTTGTTCCAGCTCACCTTTAACCTGGTGATTTGACTTTCAAGCATGGCTTAAGAGAAGATATAAGATGTAGTCATATATTTAAATATTTATTCGAATAAATGTTTTGTGTATTCCCGCTTTGCAATAGCATGATCAATTGTATCTGCATGCATCATTACATATTAACTATGATTACTAGTACTTTTAATTTTCATTCTCTGTGATTAAGAATTTTTACAAGAATGAGTTCGATCAAGAAAATACTAAAGGCGTAGTTTGGTGTATAAGACACCACTTTATGTATTGCCTTTTTATTTAGTTTATGCAATGCATATGATGCCAACTCATGACATATATTATTTTGTAGAGCACGTGGACTCTAATTTTTTTATTACCTACATCTATAATGTCAAAATGAATATGTCTGTCCTTCTTAGCCCTTAACTTGATTTGAATATTATGTCATGATAATTCTATCTATCCCTCATGGCCTTAGATTTGAGTTGTATGGTTGACCATGAGGATTTTGTCTGGCGCTCATGATCCTAACTACTTTTTGAGATATTCGTGATATAGTCAAATTTGTTTGGAATTATTGGGTATTTTGGTAAAGTTGTAAAGATTGACCACGTTGTGAACAAGTGTACATCTTAGAACTATTCCTGGTAAAGGTCAAGTGTTAAATGTGAATATTGTTCGTATCCATCTAGGGTATTATTAAATAACTTATTGTTTGAAAAGTGTTATGAGTTAACAATAAGATTTATCTTGTTCCAATTAGGATGTACAATTGGGTCACATTGTCATGTCAAAAATTTGTGCTTAGAAATTGTTTGGGATTTTGCCACCCTGGGAGTCATGCTTCTCTGCTCAATTCTGATTTCAAAACTATTACTTGATTTTTAACGTTGGCTACTTCTATGGGATCCTTTAATGCAAATGGTTTCACTTTCACATTTTCTTCTAATAGGTACAACTTATAATAATTGTTATTCTAATGATCATGGTAGAGTTCATTTATGATGTTAAATTTTGTCTGTCATGGGAGGTTGTTTGCAAAATAATTTATTTATCTAATAAACTCTTTCCTACTATGTAGGATTTTTAATTAATTAGGCTTTGTCTTTTCTATTATAATAACTCTTTAATTACCATAGCAGTATTTTGAAAATATAAGTTTTTTTTGTTACCATTATAGGCTTTCTCAATCATGGTAAGTTTTTAATAAATTTAGTTTGAGTTAATGAATTATAAACTTGCGAAAAATTGATATGAAATTTTAGAGTGTTACACTTCCTTTAATGATATGCTCTGCATTAAATTGGGTTCATCACATTTTTCCTAGTTTTTTCTTGCTAAAATACTGCAATTAGTGACATTTGTTTTTGGAAATAGATTTTTTTCCTTGTAGGTCTGATTTATGATGAATTTTCCATGTTCTTCCAAGTAAATCTTGGTCAAGTGACTAGATTTTACTTCTAAGATGGATGAGAGGTCGGTAGCATTGTTGTTTCTTAACTTGGGTCCTTCAATTACAATTAATCCAGAAAGGAAAATGATGAGCATTGTTGTTGTTTTTCTCAATGTTGTTTCTTAATTTGCTAGGTATTTGTTGTTTCTTGAATTTGAGCTTGGAAGAGCAAACGAACAGGGGTCACTTGTTCAATTGTTGAAGAATATCAAAGCAGGCCTCGTCGAAATCCTTTCGAACATTCTGTTAGAGAACATCATGCCGGACGTTGCCACTGGAGTCAAGTCACATA